CTCATTGGCAACAAAACGCTGCTAAACTAGTTGATATTCTAATGTTGGACAATCACAACATAAGTAATCACACCTACATTGCGGTGATGGTTACTTATGTTGTTTACCATCAAAAAATAGAATGGTTCATGAAGGAATTATTGATGGTTACGATGAAGATCATGATGGTCCATCAATGGAAAAATATCAAAAATTTTGATTTGGGTGGTTTAAGGAGAGAATGATTGGTAAGTAAATTTTGTTGATTGATAGCGTAACATCCTGAAATCTGGGAAAAATGTTCAAAGGAAATAATCAATATCAGTATAAAAGTATTCAAATGTAGCAAGTATTTTGGGAAAGAGGGAGTATAAAGCTAAGTGTGTGAGCTAATTCCTTTTTAATTTTTGAGAAAATTTTTACCCTAAAATAAGAATGAGCGCTGGCATCTAGTTTCAGATAAACTATAATTTTTAGTTTAAAATAATGATGAGTGCTGACACCTAGCTTAATATAAACTAACTTAGGTACATTGCAAATGCACAAAATTTTAAGAATTCAAAATAATCATTCAAATCCATATAACAACTTTTTTTTTTTAAAAAAAATTACATCTTTTTAGTAAATACTAAGTCATTAAAATAAATTTGAATTCAAAAATATGACATGTAGTTCGTTAAACCTATTAGAAATGTGCTATAGAATAATTCGCGATATAAATCAAAAATCGTCAAATAAATTCGTGAAAAAAAAGCGTTTTCGACCAAAATACTAAAATAGAGATCTATCGACAAAAACTACTCACTTCTGCCTAGCTTAATAGTATAAGATTGCCGCAGCTGATGCTATCTGGTTATTTCCGTTTCCGTTTTTAAAAGTATGTTGAGCCACCTCAGCTAGATTTGGCATCTAACATTTTTAGCGGCAATCATTGGTCGATTTCCTAGCGTTGCCATTTGGGCCTTAAACAAATAAATACTTTCTAGTAGTAGATGGCACAGGTATATGTAGTACAACATTCAATGCTTCTACGTTAGATGGCAAATTACAAGACAATTGTAGAGTTAAATCACAATCCCTATAGAAAAAAAATATGTTTACAATTTCAAATATAATTTTCTTTTGTATTAATTAATTTAAAATGAATCAAATAAACATCAGATTAACCAACTTTCACAATTTAATGTTTAGTTAATCAAAGGTAATTTTTCTTGTATAACAGAAAGAATTTATTTATAACACTATATGCATACTATCACTAAGTTCATGAAACTTCTTTTTCTCTCATTGGCAACAAAACGCTGAAAGAAACTGATCTATAGTTGGGCAGAAGTAAAAAGTTAAAAGCTAACTTTTAATGTAAACCAGCAAACTGAGCTATACTTGTGTTTTAATTTGGTCTCTTAATATACATAGGTTACAATATAATTAAGTCTTTTCTTTTTGTTTTCATGATGCTGCATAATCTATGCAGATCACTTAATAGTTTGTACACGAAAGAGAAATATTCTAATAAAGAGTCACACTGTTTTATTTAATCTATGACCTGAGGTATTCATCAATGCCATACGGTGTCCAATATGTTAATCTGTTGCAACTCCAAACATTGAATTTTATTTTTTGTGTACATAGAAAAATTCATTGAATTATCCAGTCCAAATCTAATTTCCAAGTAGTAGTACGGAAAAACTACTTGGTAGTATTTCAGTACTACTAAGTAGTATACCAAGAAGTTGGAAATGAAAGGTTTTACAAAATTTCTAAGAAAGAATTAAAAAGTACTGCAAGGAACTAGTATTTAATGAGCGAGTAAAATCAGCTCAAATAGCGAGGCAATCTGAAAGGGTTGACAAGCACAATCAGTGTGTACTATCATTACATTGCAGTTGGACCTCTATTTAACAAAGTCGCTAAATCCCGAGAATAAATTTGTTACAAGGAAAATTAGCTAAATAGATAATCACCTTTTGAAATACATAAACAGCACAAAACAGGTTATAAAATCATAAACACTAAATTAAAATAGAAATGGCCACACCTTTATCTTGTAAACTAGTATCTACCATTTATTTTATAAATCTTCAGCATAAAAGAAATCTGCATGAAAGCAAGAATAGAGCAAAGCATTATTAAGTACATGCTACATACATTTTCAACTAATAAAATGCTAAATTTATGTATAAAATTATAGCTGCATTTACTATAAAAGTTATTTTAAACATACATCACCACATGCGTTCTTAAGTTTAATTACTACGGATAAAACCCGTTAATCTAGTCTGAGTTTTTTGCTTGAAATGCAAACAAAAAAGGAAAGAGAGTTTGCTGCTTTTTCTAAAAGTTATGTGGCTGCGAAAATCAATTCAAGGTCATTTCCTTCATAAAATGCGTCAACAAGTTTGAAATGTTCTGAAATATTTCAGAACATTTCAAACACGTGGATCTCAAAGAAAAGTTCGTTAAATAGAAAATTCACTTCTATTTGGAAGTTATTTTACCAAGAAATTTTCAAAATGTTCTTAGTTTCTTGAAGAAAAAAAATCCCAAAATAGAGAAATTCGCAAAATGGAAGTTCGTTAAAAAGAAGCCCGACTGTAATTAAAGAATATTGCAATGAAAACTTGTGATAAAACCAAAATAATGAATTAAAAAGAATTTCTTGTTAATAGATTTCAGAATAAATATTATTTATTGCTATCATGCACATTCAAAAATTTCTCTTAGGCAATAACAATATGAGTAACTACATGTTGATTGCAATTTGTAACCCTGAGTTGAGGAAAAGCTTCTGCAAAATATAATTGTATTTTGCTTGTTCCTACTAATTTCATTTTTTTGTAAGGTAAAAACTTACCTGCCATTAATAAAATGAATAATATTTTACTCAGTGAGTTAACTGTGATGTTATTGGCGTGTATACTATAGTGTTCGAATTAATTGGGACAAGCAAGATTTTCTCATTCTAGTTGGTATGGGATTGCCTGTGATGTCCCGAACCGCTTCAAACCAGTTATATCTGCCTTGAACTGCGGTGACTGTTAGACCTTCACTATAATTTACTCGTCTGACTGGTTTTACTGTATTTGTAGTTCAGTTGTGAGCATTTCAGTGTGGAAACTGGTGGTTATAATTTTGAGTTTAGTCTAACACAAGTTATGTGCTTATAAAAGATTGATATTAGTCCCAGGAAGTGCTCTAAAATTATCGCTCTTTATGAACACACTTCTATGACTATAAGAGACATCGCTACAGCAGTTGGTGTAGGGAAATCTAGTGTTTCCAGAACTCTTAGAACATTTTAAGATTCCGGCTCATCCTCTCCAAAAAGAAAAGGAAAATGTGGACGCGAACGGAAAACTACTCCAAGAACTGATAAAAGTCTAATAAGAAATAGTAAAATTAATCCAAGAAAGACAAGCACAGACCTCCGAAGGGATTTATTGGATTGTGGTGTTGATGTGAGTACTTCAACTGTATGAAAAAGGCTTCAAGAAGTTGGACGTAAGGCAAGAAGACCAAGGAAAAAACAATTTCTAACTCAGAAAAGGATGAAAAAACGTTTAGCATGGGCCAGAAAATACCAAAAATGGACTGTAAATGACAGGAAGAAAGTGGTTTTCAGTGATGAAACACATTTATTTGTGCAGGGACACAAATCAAGAGTAGTTAGACGAAAGTCTCAGACCAGATCATATCCAACTGACTGTAAAACACCCCTCTAAACAAATGTTTTGGGGTTTCTTCACAACAAATAGCACTGGAAGCTTAGGGCCTCTAAAAGGCATGATGAATTCAGCCAAATACATCGATATATTACATAGTAGGATTGTTTCATTCATGGAAACATTCGACGGAACATTTCAACATGATTTGGCCCCTTGTCACAATTCCAAACTGGTCCGGAATTTTATGCGAGAAAACAAAATAAAAGTGCTTGATTGGCCTGGTAATTCACCAGACCTAAATCCCATTCAGAACCTGTGGCATATTCTAAAAAATCACTTAGCCAAGATGAATTGCACGACAGCAGAACAAATGATAAAAAAGTGCTATTCAAGTATGGTTCCACGACGATGAAGTCAAGAACATGTACGCTACACTAGTGGAATCAATGCCAAAACGTGTTCCTGAAGTCATATCTGCTAAAGGAGGACATACTTCATATTAATACAGACATGTATCAATGTAACTTAAGGTATGTAATGATTAAAAGCTAAAGTTTCAATAAATCACTTTTTTTTTCATTTGTCCCAATTAATTCGAACAGTATAGAAGTCTATTTTGGATGCTATATAAATGTTTTAAGGAATATTTGATCTTGAATCTTATGAGATTCGATTTGGATACTTTAAATATTTAGAAGGATTTGGAAACCAGGCAGTCATTTTTTTTATACATATAAATCACTCATTAGAAGTATTATCAATAATAGATTATTTATCCTACCTATTGCAAGTAAAACACAAATAAAAAATACAGCTATTTTTATAAATATTTCTTTAAAAAAATCCTTAATTTACTTCATTTAATTTTCGAAAAAAAAAAAAAAAAAAAANATTGCATTGCAATATAGTAGTAGTTACAGAATAATATGAAAAAGAATTAAAAGATCATAAAATCAATTTGCATTCTGCATAGTTATATTAAGAAAAATATCAAACATTAGTGACTAGACTATGTTTACATCCATAATATTAAATCTTAAAATAAATTTTTAAGAAAATTGACATGCATTGTAAATTATGCTAAAATTGGCATATTTGCTAAGCTCTAAAATAGGCTATAGTATCTAAAGTTAGCTTGCAAGTTAATAAAAAATGAATAGTCAATGCAATAATTCAAGTTAATAAAAAATTTATCTTGTATAAACAAAAATAGTTATAAAATGCATGTTCTTTTTTGGATTAAAAATGAATAATCAATTCAGATTATAATTATTAAAAAAAAAGCAATGTTATTACAAACCGAATTTTAAATTAAAATTATCATAAGAAACTCATATTTAAAAAAAAACTCCTTTAAATAACAAATTTAATAATACTCAGCAGTTAAGAAAAAAGAAAGTCACCTGTTCTTATCCACATCTTCAACAATCGAAAGCAGTCTAAATGGCACAAATGATGCACTAGTCGTGGAATAATAAGTTATTGCTTTGACCTGAAAAAAAAATTAACAATCATTAACAATTTCAAACAATTATAAACCATTACATATTTGCACATAAAAGATAGGATATCTAAATAATGCAATAAAGCTAGAAAATATTGAAATTTTTAAGATTATGATTTAAGTCTATTAAAAAAGCTTCATAGAAGTAAAATATAAAAAGTAAAATCACAATCAACTATATGTTTATAACATAAAAGGTAGAATGAATAATCTTTTATAGAAAGATAGTATTATAGATCAAACTCTTTATCACAAAACTAAATTGGTATAATTAGGTAGAGATCAAAAGGGAATAAGAAACAAATAATTATTTTCGTTATACAGGTGACTAAAATATTAAATGTTAGCAAAATTAATTCTATTGTGGCACAGTGCCTTGTTGATTCTGATGTGAATGTTTAGTGAGAAAAAAAATTATGACTGTGAATCAAACTCGGGGGTTTATGATTATAATAAGCAAGGGGTGAAGTCTCAAAGTCTAGTAAAAAATAGTTAGAAGAAATATATTATAAAATATAGAAATTTAAAAAAAAAAATGAAACAAAATTTAAGAAAATATTCCATATGTTAAATTGATTTATAACGCACCGATGTAGAAATCATCAATAGTATAATCAAAGAAACTAAAAATAAGTTGAAACTATAAATAGTATTCTCAAAAATATTTAATAGTTTATGAAACTGCATGCTAAATTTTGAATTTCATGAAAGCCTCAGTATTTTAGTACACTTAAATATTATTCATTGGCTGTAGAAATATTATTTGTTATTAATTTAATATACTTAATTTCTTAACAGTAAATTTATTAGATGTGAAAATAAAATTAAATCTATCTTATTATTCATCATGTCACATTCCTATTATAAAAACAGCTTAATTCAAAGGAATGTAAGCAATTTTTCAAATTAAATACAACTTCTAACAGAGAATATTAAAATGATATCAAAATTTTTATATTTTAATTTGAATTTTACATTAGAATATTTTTAGTTTTGTGCAGATAATGTAGTAAAAATTAAACCAAAATCAAATAAAATTCAAACTGATTTTCTGCTGAAGATATACAGGGTGCGCAGTCACACTTTTCGGCAAAAATAAACACCTTTTAAGTACTTTTTTATGACTCAAAAAATATTTTTAATCATTTTCGATAAAAAAAAAAAAACATAATTAGGATCTGTGCAGTAGTAACAATCATTTTTTCTATCGTTTAAAGTTCTTAATTTATTAACATAAAATCAATAAAATTCAAAAACTTTACATAATCATGATAAAATAACCAGTTTCTGATAAATATTGCAGAGAAAATTGAAAAGAATCATGTATTTTTGCAATTTAGAATGACAAACAACGTGGCAAAAAAAAAAAAAATCTTTTTTAAAAGACAGAAAATTAAACTCTTTTTACATATCCCGAATAAAAAAGAACCTTTAAAGGCTTTCAAAAAATGTAAATCAAAAATAAGCCCTTTTTAGAAATGCTACGCACCCTGTGCATAACCATCATGTATTAACAATGCATTAAAAACAAAAAAAATTATGACAAATGTTTACTTCAAAAGAAACAAGCATTCAAATATTTATCAATGAAAAGAATTATTCATTCATAAAAAACACTTAAATTAGTCTAAAACAAATTTTAAACAGATAAAGAATTAATTATTGTTATTTATAACTTCATATAGACACAAACTATGAAAATAAGAAAATACAAATTTCTTTTTTTTAAAAGTTTGTTACTTATAAATAATAGAACAGTAAATAAATAAGAATATTAATCAAAAAAAATAATCTTGCAAAATTTTTAAAAAATATAAAAAACAAGTTAAAAAATTTTGCTAAAATAAAAATTACCTTTCATTATGTCACCTTGTTTTAAATTATCTTCTAAATTCACAGTTATTTTATGACTAAGCGGTAAGAAGCTTTTCAAGAGTATCATTCCATGCAATTCGTACTTTTGAATTATTCCCTGATAATTAATAAGTTTTAAAATGGTAAGAAATTCATCAAGCTGTCCTTAAAAAAAACGAATCACATTTAACAATAAGTAAAATAAATCAAAATTTTCTTTAAATTAAAAACTACTACAAACATTATTTCTATAAAAATGAAAAGTTTCCAAATTAACTCAAAATAAATTGCATTTATAAAGTTAAGAGATGATATCTTACTTAAAATAGTTGATCCAAGGTCAGAAAAAAAATTTCTACAGAAGCAGCACACAGTTTTTTTTTTGTGAAAAGAAAGAAAATTTTCATATTAAATTAACTAACTTTTGAACTTTACAAAGACAATTTCATAAAACTCAACTGATATGGCGCAGATACTAAAGAAGCTACTTCAAAAATATCCTTTTTAGTCTTATAAAATGTCATGCAATATTGTTTTAGACTTTATCTGTCTTTCAAACTATTTTCCTAAGAAGAAATAATTCTTAAGCAAAAATTACAAAATATAAACCAATTTTTAAAAATAGCTGTTTAATATATATATGTAGGTTTCAATACCATAGAACAATCTTTTTCTTATTCACATGCATTCCGGAGACCTCTGCGCGAAGGCAGCTCTCACGAGTCATGTCAATAAAACTGCTATATCCTTCTATCCTTTTTATTTCTATTAAATTGTTATGTTTGCTAAATTATCGTCGTTATTTACTCCTATGCTGCACTAACTCCCCCCCACACACATATATATATAGTCGGACTTCTATTTAATGAATTTTTCTTTGAGAACCACCTATCCCTATTTCTCAAAATATTTCAAACTTGTGGATGTATTTTATGGAGAAAATAACCTTGAATTGATTTTCGAAGCCATTTAACATTTAGAGAAAGCAGTAAAATCCCTTTCCTCTCTTGTTTGCATTATTAACAAAAAACTCAGACAAAATTAACAGATTTTATCAGTAGCAATTAAACTTAAGATGGTATTGCATGTGCAAAATTAATTATATAATAAATGCAGCTATAATTTTATACATAAATATAACTTTCTTCAGTTGAAAACGTATGTAACATGATAGTATAACACTGAAGTTGTTTGTTTGTTTAGTTGTTGTAATGTTGTTGTTTGTTTGTTGAAGTTGTTGCAATGTTTACCTCTATTCCTGCTTACAATTTATAAAATAAACAGTATATACTAGTTTACAAGATAAAGGTGTATCAATTGCTATTTTAATTATGTCTAATGTTTATGAATTTAAAACCTGTTTTGTGTTAGCATTTAAAAAGGTATTTCCTTTTTAAGGAATTTTCCATGTATCGAATTTATTATCAGGATTTAGTGTCATCTTTAAATAGAGGTTCGATTGTATAGATATAACTTTACAATATATCAAAACTTTATTAATTAGAGCACTCAAAGAATTGACTAAGAGCTGCAGTCATTTAGATTGATAATTCTTAGCCACTTTAGTCTTGAGCAATAATCTTCAAATCTTTCTTTATTCTTGAAAGTTTTGTGTTTAGAGAGAAATAAATTTAAAGAAATATCAATATTAAAAAGCACAGCCTGATTTTTAAAATTTTCTTTAAGGAAAATGGATAACTACAAAAAAATTTACTTATAAGTTCAAAATGCTATTTCAGATGGTATTTACATTGGTAATTCTCAATCGTTTCAATAAAAAAAAATATTTAAATAGTTATTTTTCCAAAAAAAAAAAAATATACATAGAAAGGAAAAATAAAGCAATAAATTGAGTAGAAAATAATTTTGAATTAAAAACAATATAGCCTCAATTTATTTCAATAATCCCTCAGTACAACAAAACATTTTGAAATAACTCAACATTGTTTTATGAATATCTAAGAAATGATGGCATTGCACCAGGGCCGGATTAACCTATAGGCACACTAGGCACGTGCCTAGGGCCTACGAAATTCAGGGGCCTACGAAAAACTTGGGAGAAAAAAATTTCTTGACAAAAATAATTTAGCTTTAAAAACNTTTCTAAGATTATAATTTAAGTCGATTAAAGAAGCTTCAAAGAAGTAAAATATAAAAAGTAAAATCACAATCAACTATATGTTTATAACATAAAAGGTAGAATGAATAATCTTTTATAGAAAGATAGTATTATAGATCAAACTCTTTTTCACAAAACTAAATTGGTATAATTAGGTAGAGATCAAAAGGGAATAAGAAACAAATAATTATTTTCGTTATACAGGTGACTAAAATATTAAATGTTAGCAAAATTAATTCTATTGTGGCACAGTGCCTTGTTGATTCTGATGTGAATGTTTAGTGAGAAAAAAAATTATGACTGTGAATCAAACTCGGGGGTTTATGATTATAATAAGCAAGGGGTGAAGTCTCAAAGTCTAGTAAAAAATAGTTAGAAGAAATATATTATAAAATATAGAAATTTAAAAAAAAAAATGAAACAAAATTTAAGAAAATATTCCATATGTTAAATTGATTTATAACGCACTGATGTAGAAATCATCAATAGTATAATCAAAGAAACTAAAAATAAGTTGAAACTATAAATAGTATTCTCAAAAATATTTAATAGTTTATGAAACTGCATGCTAAATTTTGAATTTCATGAAAGCCTCAGTATTTTAGTACACTTAAATATTATTCATTGGCTGTAGAAATATTATTTGTTATTAATTTAATATACTTAATTTCTTAACAGTAAATTTATTAGATGTGAAAATAAAATTAAATCTATCTTATTATTCATCATGTCACATTCCTATTATAAAAACAGCTTAATTCAAAGGAATGCAAACAATTTTTCAAATTAAATACAACTTCTAACAGAGAATACTAAAATGATATCAAAATTTTTATATTTTAATTTGAATTTTACATTCAAATATTTTTAGTTTTGTGCAGATAATGTAATAAAAATAAAACAAAAATCAAATAAAATTCAAACTGATTTTCTGCTGAAGGCATACAGGGTGCGCAGTCAGACTTTTCAGCAAAAATAAACACCTTTTAAGTACTTTTTTATCACTCAAAAAATATTTTTAATCATTTTCGAAAAAAAAAACAAAACATAATTAGGATCGGTGCAGTAGTAACAATTATTTTTTCTATCGTTTAAAGTTCTTAATTTATTAACATAAAATCAATAAAATTCAAAAACTTTACATAATCATGATAAAATAACCAGTTTCTGATAAATATTGCAGAGAAAATTGAAAAAAATCATGTATTTTTGCAATTTAGAATGACAAACAACGCGGGAAAAAAAAAAAAAAAAAATCTTTTATAAAAGACAGAAAATTAAACTCTTTTGTACATATCACGAATAAAAAAGAACCTTTAAAGGCTTTCAAAAAATGTAAATCAAAAATAAGCCCGTTTTAGAAACGCTACGCACCCTGTGCATAACCATCATGTATTAACAATGCATTAAAAACAAAAAAATTATTACAAATGTTTACTTCAAAAGAAACAAGCATTCAAATATTTATCAATGAAAAGAATTATTCATTCATAAAAAACACTTAAATTAACCTAAAACAAATGTTAAACAGTTAAAGAATTAATTATTGTTATTTATAACTTCATACAGACACAAACTATGAAAATACAAATTTCTTTTTTTTTTAAAAGTTTGTTACTTATAAATAATAGAACAGTAAATAAATAAGAACATTAATCAAAAAAAATAATCTTGCAAAATTTTTAAAAAATATAAAAAACAAGTTAAAAAATTTTGCTAAAATAAAAATTACCTTTCATTACGTCACCTTGTTTTAAATTATCTTCTGAATTCACAATTATTTTATGACTAAGCGGTGAGAAGCTTTTCAAGAGTATCATTCCATGCAATTCGTACTTTTGAATTATTCCCTGAAAATTAATAAGTTTTAAAATGGTAAGAAATTCATCAAACTGTGCTTAAAAAAACGAATCACACATTTAACAATGAGTAAAATAAAGCAAAACTACTTTTCTTTAATTAAAAACTACCACAAACGTTATTTCCAAAAAAATGAAAAGTTTCCAAATTAACTAAAAATAAATTACATTTATTAAGTTAAAATATGATAACTTACTTAAAATAGTTGATCCAAGGTCTAAAAAAAATTTCTACAGAAGCAGCACACAATTTTTTTTTGTGAAAAGAAAGATTAAATTAACTAACTTTTGAACTTTACAAAGACAATTTCATAGAACTCAACTGATATGGCGCAGATACTGAAGAAGCTACTTCAAAAATATCCTTTTTAGTCTTATAAAATGTCATGCAATATTGTTTTAGACTTTATCTGTGTTTCAAACTATTTTCCTCAGAAGAAATAATTCTTAAGCAAAAATTACAAAATATAAACCAATTTTTAAAAATAGCTGTTTAATATACAGGGTGTCTATAAAAGAACTCCGGGGTTTTAAAAATTCATGTCTCACTAACTATAAAAGATAGCAAAATTTAGTCGATTTCTCTGAAAAGAGTAGCTCAAAAAGTTTTACTCATACCAATTAGGAATGTTTGTATCAACTGTTGGCGACGCTGCAGGGCGTTGACCTTGAAATGACGTCGCGAAATTTGAAATGATGGCGACTCCGCAACAAAAGGCTCAATGTGTTATTTGGCTCATAGAAACGAAGTCTTTAGTTACCGTACAAAGTGCAGAGAAAATTCGTGATGTTCAATATCTCAGGGAACGAATAGTCAATTGTGTGGCAACCGTCCCCCCAGACATGCTCGCCAGGACATGCTGCATGGGAAGAGGTAGAATACCGTTTAGACGTCTGCCGTGCCACTAACGGGGCTCATATAGAACTTTACTAAGTGTTAAAAAAAAACTTGAAAATATAAGCTTTTCAGTCATGTATAAAACATGTATGTATGTTTTTTATTTCATTAAAATATTTTGCCTCAAAACCCCGGAGTTCTTTTATAGACACCCTGTATATATGTAGGTTTCAATACCATAGAACAATCTTTTTCTTATTCACATGCATTCCGGAGACCACTGCGCGAGGGCAGCTCTCACGAGTCATGTAAATAAAACTGCTATATCCTTCTATCCTTTTTATTTCTATTAAATTGTTATGTTTGCTAAATTATCGTCGTTATTTACTCCTATGCTGCACTAACTCCCACACACACACACATATATATATATAGTCGGACTTCTATTTAATGAATTTTTCTTTGAGAACCACCTATCCCTATTTCTAAAAATATTTCAAACTTGTGGATGTATTTTAAGGAGAAAATGACCTTGAATTGATTTTCGAAGCCATTTAACATTTAGAGAAAGCAGTAAAATCCCCTTCCTCTCTTGTTCGCATTATTAACAAAAAACTCAGACAAAATTAACAGATTTTATCAGTAGCAATTAAACTTAAGATGGTATTGCATGTGCAAAATTAATTATATAATAAATGCAGTTATAATTTTATACATAAATATAACTTTTTTCAGTTGAAAACGTATGTAACATGATAGTATAACACTGAATAATGTTTACCTCTATTCCTGTTTACAATTTATAAAATAAACAGTATATACTAGTTTACAAGATAAAGGTGTATCAATTGCTATTTTAATTATGTCTAGTGTTTATGAATTTAAAACCTGTTTTGTGTTAGCATTTAAAAAGGTATTTCCTTTTTAAGGAATTTTCCATGTATCGAATTTATTATCAGGATTTAGTGTCATCTTTAAATAGAGGTTCGATTGTATAGATATAACTTTACAATATATGCAATATATCAAAACTTTAATAATTAGAGCACTCAAAGAATTGACTAAGAGCTACAGTAATTTAGATTGATAACTCTTAGCCACTTTAGTCTTGAGCAATAATCTTCAAATCTTTCTTTATTCTTGAAAGTTTTGCGTTTAGAGAGAAATAAATTTAAAGAAATATCAATATTAAAAATCACATCCTGATTTTTAAATTTTTTTTTAAGGAAAATAGATAACTACAAAAAAATTTACTTATCAGTTCAAAATGCTATTTCAGATGGTATTTACATTGGTAATTCTCAATCGTTTCAATAAAAAAAAATATTTAAATAGTTATTTTTCCAAAAAATCTACACATAGAAAGGAAATATAAAGCAATAAATTGAATAGAAAATAATTTTGAATTAAAAAGAATATAGCCTCAATTTATTTCAACAATCCCTCAGTACAACAAAACATTTTGAAATAACTCAACATTGTCTTATGAATATCTAAGAAATGATGGCATTGAACTTTTAGGAAAAGCAACAAAGAAATGATATTCAGAAAACTTCCAGGTAAGGAACAATTCGTAAAATTGTAAAAATATCAAATTCAACAAAACAAAAGGTTTTAAGCGTGGTAACATTATAATAAAAAAAAGTAATAAGTTCATAGGTCTTCTCTTAATATAATTTTAAAAGTATACACCCATAAGCAGTACTTAAATATAAATTTAGATACATAAGGAAAAAACAATTATGCAAGGATTATTTAGTTAAGAAATAAACTATGCTTTTATAAATTGAGCCACCGTTTCACGAAGAATGGGTAGGAATTGGCTTGGTAATAATTGGTGTTTTTGAAAATCAGAGTTACATTTAAAACACTTATTGTTGTTGTAGGCCATTAGGGTGTGATTGCATTTTTTCTAGTGGCACAATCTATAACCAAGAATTTGACTTCTGCCACACCCAGACCCCATTTTCACGAACACCTGTCCTGTACACTGCTAACCAGAATATCCCGTTAAAACACTTGCTTTTCACATTAAACAAAACACTTATTTTAAGCATGTATTTTTAAACATTATTCTTTGTTAAGTTCAAAAATTGACGTAGAAAATTCTAAGTCAGAGAAGCAACTATATCTTTAGTACAAAAACCATAAGTTTAAAACAAATTATTTGCTTACAGCAAATGAAAATAAATTGGCAATTATTTTAGCTCATTAAAAAGATATTGATAAAAAAGTGTTTCCAGCAAGTCTCATGCAGTTTAACGCTCACAAAATTTCCAACAAGGTTTTTTTTGTAGAAAGAAAAATACGACTACTTTTGGGGTTGCTAAAGCAGCAAAACTTGAAACAATATTCACAGATTTTACAAAATAATACATTTTTATGTTTTTAAAGTAAATGTGTTTTAAAATAATTATCTTTTACTTTGTAAATAAAAACAATTCTAATGCATACATGAAAAAATAAAATCTGCACGAATGTTCCTTGCATTAAAAAAAAAGTATTTGTAGAAAGAAAAATAGGACTATTCTTTTTTTATGCAATGTATTTGTAGAAGGAAAAAAATTGTAGAAAAAAAAACTATTGGTGGGTTGCTAAAGCAACAAAATTTGTAACAATATTCAAAGCTCTTACGAAATAAAATATTTCATGTTTCTAAAGTAAAAGTGATTTAAAACAAATTTCTTTCACATTGAAAATAAAAAACAATTTTAACACATACATGAAAATATAAAATATGCACGAATATTTCTTGGATTAAAAAAATAATTGTAGAAAAAAAAAATATAACTATTCTTTCAATATTTCTTTCTACAAAGTATTTGTAATAAAAAATAGGACTTTTGGGGGATTGTTAAAGCAACGATATTCAAAGTTCTTACAAAATAATACATTTTTATATTACTAAAACAAATGAGCCTTAAAATAAACTTCTTTCACAATATAAATAAAAAAATTTTTAATACATACATGAAAGAATAAAATATGCACGAATATTCCTTGCAGTAATAAAATGTTTCGTGCAAAACATTTATTTTTTTTTTACAATAATTTCATTTCATTGAATGCGAAACATATTAATTTTGTTTTTAATGTTAATTCATATAAAATGGATAAACTAACTAAGACATGTTGCAAAATTTTAAACTAACTATGTTTTGTAATCGAATAATTTATTACCTCTTTAGAAATATGAACCACTATTTTTTCAATAACATCAACAAA